ATGTTGGTCGATCCGACTTGGTTGCAAAGAGGTCGAGAAAACATTTCCATGCAGGCGACTTGAAACGATCTCCATTCTAAAGGTCCGCGACCTGTTCTTAGACCTTATTCAGTGCTGTAACGATGATTCTAGTCTTAATCGAGATTCACGACCTGATTACACAGCAAAATTTTTGTTGAAAGCAAAGGGTCACGTTGCTTCGAAACTGGCACAACGAGGGCAAGGAGTCACGTCGCTTTACGACTAACACACGACAAGGTCAAAGAGTCACGTCGCTTCGCAACTGACATGACAAAGAGTGCTCTATGTAACAACATCTTTAGATGTTATCCGTTGCACTTTTGTGGTTGATATATTAATGAAACACCTTTTGCTCTGACAGACGTGTCAATCATGCGCATTAAATACGAGTCATGCTGAAACGTCATTCCTTATTAGAGCATTAAATGCGGATATGGGTACATTTAATGTGGAGGAGGGAAATGAGCCGTTGCTTGAGTGTTTCAACGGAAAAGAACGACGATTTGGTTTCTCGAAGCATGACAATCACTCTTCGTCACTGATTAGCGACACGTGGTTGCGATCAACGGTGAGATACGTTTTCTGCCGAAACGTCGTTTGACTTCAGGAAAACAAAATGCCACTTCCTTTACTATAAAACCCTAGGCTCACCTTAGGTAATGTCACAATACTCACTTCTCCAAAGAGAGTAAGAAACTTTCATGAGCCTTGGTTTTTCGTCTTTCAGACTGGTGCGTGTTTGACACTCGGAGCAGAAGGATCAATCTTCATACTTCAAGAGGTAAGGATGGTTCCTCTGTCACTTTTTTTTTTTTTTTTCTGTTTTCGATAGTTGCCATGCGGTGATGGCATTTGCCGGTAGTTGATCAGAGATAAAATTTTCTCCTAGGGTTTGAGCCATTGGGGGTGGCTTTAAAAGATTCTTTTAGGGTTTAAGGGAGGAAGCGTTTATTTTTCCCTCCACGTTATCGTACGAGATAATGAACGACAACTAAGTGATTCTTGCATGTCGTTTTTTTTAGACCGCATAAGAATGGACCCTTCAACGACTAGGACAGATGAGGGAACCAGCTCGCCAGCGCAGGATGCTCCAGCGGGTCCCTCTCAGGAGATCCTATCGATAATCACTGCCAAAGAGATCCAGAAGGTCGTAAACCAATACGCTCTCAGCATGGAGGTCTTCCAACATAGGACGTAAACAGCTCGAAATCTGCCAAAAGAAATGGCTACGATCTCCGAGAACATTTTTAAGAGTGGAGCATTGATCCCTTTCTACCATTTCGTTAGGTCGATCCTTGATCATTCGGGATCTCACTGCTACAGCTTACGCCAAACGCATATATGATAGCCATGGCTATGTATATCGCATGCGGCAAAAACGGTTTAGACGAGCTAACTGCGCTAGAGCTCGGTTGCTCGTATATTCTGAAGAAGAGTAAGGACAAAGATTCCTTCTACCTCTCGAAGCAATCTACGATCGAAGCGGGGGAATACATAGTTACCCTAGCAATGTTGGGGCGTACGAGATGAAGTTCTTCTTCTTTCAATATGATAGCATTTGCCAATTTAGGGAGCCGAGTAGATTCTCCTTTCTTTGAGTTCGCGAATTTCCTTTTAATCTTCACTAATAAGTTTTTTGTTTCTTCGCAGTAAACAAGACGACCATGTTATCAGCTCTCGAGGATCCTGACAGAATCATTGCTTTCGGCTTTTTGCTCGAAGAGAGTCGCGACGCTAGACCACTCGTGACAACCGCGAACTTGTGGAAGTACGGTTTCTTCTATCCCGAAGCGACCTTAGAGACCACAATGAGTAAGCATCGTAACCTTAACCTGTTTTTTAATTTTACATGTAGCAAACTGTTTTGCTAACGATGTTCGCATGCAGCGACCATGCCTCCCAAAATGCCCAGATTGCCGCGACCAGGGCAGTTCATCTTCCCTCGAGTGGGCGTAATCGGACCAACTGGAGCAGCTCCCAACGGTCCCCTCGTTGGAAGGACACCAGCGGGTGCTCCGATCCAACCTGCAGGTGCTCCCCAGCGTTCGGCTGTTCACTCAAAGCAAAAGACTATGGCCCAAAAGTCCAAGAAACAAAAACAACTTTGGGCCGAAGAGTCAGAGTCCGAGCCAAAGGGTCTGGGCGTTCAACCCAAAAGGTTGCAGCCTTACCAAGCATTCCGCTAGAGAGGGCCTTCCAGGGGCGCGACCGGTATCTCCATTGCCCCCTGAGGGTCTGCGGACGAGGCAAAGGGAGCCTCTGCTTTGTCTTATTAAAATAAATTACCAATACAAATAATGATAAAATGTCGAATAAATTATTTTTAACTACTAAATTATTACTAAAAACATTAGTATATAATAATATAATAAAAAATAGTAAATTATTTGTTAAAACATGAATAAACTATATATATGAATAAACTTTGCAATATCTGGAGTGGTTAGGTAAATAAAGAAGTCTTACCTACCAAGGAGGCTTAGCCAAATTGAAAGATATTTTCATACTCTTCATTTCATTTGACTGTAGCTTTTGACCTCAGTTAGTTGGCACCAGTGTAATGTTTGTAGTTATTTGTTTGAACAACCAGATTTTTAACTTAATATGTATTGTTTATTTGGGGTAGTACATTACACAGGAAATTTCAGTAGATGCAATAGAACAATTAACACTAATACATGAACTGGTAATTTTTCTTTTTTTGAGACATAAAATTATTGCACACTTTAGCTAACATGAAGCCTGGACTCAGATTTTTAACTTTAATTAAAAATCTTCACGGGCATTGGGTTTGTTGTTTCTAGTGGTCATATCAGTGTAGCACTTGCCACAAAGCTCTCTGTTGCCATGAGTTCCTGGTGGAACACATTTGCACCTGTCACAGCATGTAACACAAGCTGTAACACACAGATTCTTACTGGAATGTAATTTGCACCTCTCTCCACATAATAAGAGGCAATCTGCCCAAAAATGCAACAAAAAAAGTGTATATTGTCAACAAAAGACTAAAAGAAGTTAGGATTTTAAGTCTATTCCTGAGTATTTTTATTGTGTACATATGTTGTTACCTTTCTTTGTCCTTACTAGAGGCAGTGGTGGGCTCACTGTTGGTGGAGTAGTTTTAGGTGGCTGACTGGTGGTGGAGTGGTTTTGGGTGGACTCACTGGGGGGAGGTGGAGTGGTCTTTGGTGGGCTCACTGGCTATGGTGGTGTGGGTGGGTGGGCTCACTGGTGGAGGTGGAGTGGACTTAGGTCGGTTCACTGGTGGAGGTGGTTCGGCCCTGGGTGGGCTCACTGGTGGAGGTGGTGTGGATGTGGGCGGGCTCACTGGTGGTGGCACATGGAGTGTTTGCTTGAGCTCTGTTATGGCCTCCTGGGTTTGGAACACTCTTGAGGGGAAAGGACTTGGGCTGTATGGGTTTGTTTTTTTACACTGCATAAGTTACTTGAGATTGTTGTTATAATGGTGTATCAATGAGTTTACTTGGGAATTCTTATTTTTTTTCTTATAATTTTGGTTCCAAACTCAAAGATGCCGTCATTCACATATTAATTTTTATTTGATGATTTTTGGGTTGAATATGAGATTGAACATTAATTTGATATGTGTAATTGCCATATTAATAAGTTGATACAAGTTGTTGATATGTTTTGATATAAAGATTTTCTGTTACATTTTTGTTTGTGTTTCTTGATTTCACAGTTTAAGTGATTAATTGAATATGGAATGAAGGATACTTAGAGAGGTGTCTCTACGAGGATAGAAGCCTTAACTTAAGAATAAAAATGGGAAACATTTGCTATCTCAATCATAAGGTCTTTTGTATCAGATTATATCTGCTTGAAGAATATTACATATACAACATTTTTATATAATATTATGTGGCAAAATATGATTGGTTGATTTTAAATTAAAATTAAATTTTCACCTAATATTTTTTGCTACATAATGTTATATGAGAAATATTGTATAAAAATGTTATATGTGTAGTATTATTCTACATGTTTTAAGCTTTTACCGAAAACATAGGCTTTCAATCTAAAGTTTGGAATTCCCTCTTCTTTATTCTTTTATTATGTACTCAAAATGGTAATTTAATAAGCATGAGAGAGTGTACCACTTAAGGACGACCTTAATGTTCTTCACACCTCTCCTCTAGCACTCACATCACCAAGTCAAGTCAACAGCCATCTCCTCTTAAATTGAAAATTCTGAAATGCGGAAAATTGTTACCGGCAAAAGTTTTCATGATTCTTAAAAATTGATATGCATAAGCATGTCTTCAACTACTTAGATGTTTCAGGAATCACTAATGTGGAGAAAGTTAGACTTGTTTCTGTAATTGGAAGTTTGGAACTGAAAAACAAAGGGAAGGCATCTGTGAAAGTAGATATTCATTTTTCAAAGTGTTCAGGCCTTGAGGATTTTTCGCTTGCTTGAACAGGGCCATTACATTTCGGCCCGTTTCACTATCCCCTGCTCTCTCTCGCAGCTCCTTTTGGTTAATGTTTGAAATTTGAACTAAAAGGTGTACAATTTCAGGTGATTAATTCTTTGCATGAAAACATTGAGGTATGATTTTTTTCTTATGTTTTTTAATGGATTTAAATGCTTTGTTACTCTAGTCTATGATTGTTAATTTCAAATGTTGCATCTTTTGCATATTACAGGATGAGTTTCAGTCTGTATGCCTTGAAACTCCGGTATATTTGTATTCATTACTTGGGTCCGCGGATAGATTTGGTCAATTCAATTACTAATTAAATTCATTCCTTTTGATTTTATGAATTTAATTGGTTGGGCATTCTGATGCTGAATTAAATATGATTTTGAAGGTGGGAAACACTCTTGATACTGTGGACTAACTTGTGGAAGAACAAGGTCTGGATCCATTGTCTTCAGGTAAGTAGGTCTATCTAATCCCTTGATGGCATGTAAACACTTGTTTTACTGATAAAATTACCAACCCGAGGCAAAAAAATGATACAAATTGGCAACTATTCTGCCTCTAAAGAACTAAAAATAATCTTCTCAAGTAAAATGCTGCCACCTCAATGCTTAAAAGAAATGAGGATCCACTTCTGGCATATTTTAATTTAATGGCCACTCTCAAGAGTCAAGATCAAAATTCTTTCGGATTACATTGGTATCTTTAAACTATCAGAACTTCAAAGAATTCAACCGTCTCTTTCAGCTTTTCCAGCGCTGAAACATTTAAGAGAATAGGTAGCGTCAGAGCATGAAGAAAGATAAACTGATTTTGTCATGGTCCATTAACCAAGCTAAAAGTCTCCATTGACTTGCAAGGTGCGAGCAACCCTTCAAGAGGGTGAATCTCACTACCTTTTGCCCTCGATAAGCTAACAAATAAACATGTAAGTTTGGAAAGGCAACAATAATAATGTGGATTTCCAAATTATTTTGACAGTACAGAACATAATCAACACAAATATGGCAAATGGTCTAGAGAATAAGCATGATAACTGTCAAGTGTTAACTTTTCATAGAAATAATAGGCAAGAAATTACCAGATATATAAATTGGCTGAAGTGACTCAATTGAACTGGACAGGAGAGAGTGATCGGTACACGAGTTATTGTCAGCTTTTTGTAACATCTTGTTGAAACGCTTTAGCTGAAACCTGTAAAAGATTTAACCATAGCAGGATTTGTACATAGCCCATTTAAAAGGCAAATGAAAGCAATTTTATATTGAAATAAGTAATTGGGCTTGACCAACCCAACCAGACAGAATTCCACTCAATATATGACTAAAAAATTTTAAGCGTTCTCAATTCAGCAGTAAACAATCAAAATTGTCAAACCTGTTTTATCATTTTTTATACATTTGACATAACTCCGACAGTTAACAAAGATTCAGATCAGGTCAGAGGATCCTTGAGGTCTGGATTCTATGGAATGAGTCCCAGCTATAGATTAGCCTTGGGTAAAGAACATTTAAGGTAATTCAAAAGATATATTGAAATTAAACAACCCATTTAGTGAACCGACTTTGGTTGGAATGAAGAATTATTTTCTTAGGCTAAGCTTTACAAGAAGTTGATGAGAACCAACCAACTTGATTTCCTGATTCAATCAACCTCAGTCCAGGAACATTCAAAGTAATTAAAAGAAACACCAACATTGTATAGCCAATTTAGTGAGCAGACTTGGTTGTAATGAAGAACTATATTCTTAGGCTAAATTTTACGAGCAGCAGATCAAAATCCAATAACCCAACAATCTTGATTACCCAGATGTAAGAACTACCAAACTTATAAATCCACAGCTAATATACGTGTTTAACATAAACTTAAATACATGGAAAAGGATGTTATTGTTGATCCATGCAGCATGATAACATATATAATTAGAAGCGATAAAGAGTCAAGATGGCAGCATACCTCAACTTTACGCAACAAAGTAAAGCAACACCCCGTCTTGCCTGCTCTTGCAGTCCGGCCAACTCAATGAATATATGTCTTGAAGTATGCAGGCATACCATAATTAATAACATTTCTCACCCCTTCAACACCCATCCCTCAAGTCATTGCATCAGAGAAAACAAGCACTTGTATCTCCCCTTCACGAAATTGTTTCAGAGTCTTGCTAGAATATGAAAAATTTACAATTAGATTACGCTATAATATTATCAAATTATTCATATAACCTCTTTGAATCAGCAATCACAGGCATCAATGTGAAGAAAGGGTCATGCATCATAGAATAACTCTAAACTTTTTCCCTTCCCTTCCATGAACAAAAGGATAATACCTTAGCCATTACATTCAAAAGTCCTCTAAAACAAGAGTCAGCATGAGGTATTAGAACAAGCAAAAGTCATTTTTATAGAATGATTTACATTCTAAGTGGTAGGGTAACATGAGAAGAAATGGAAAGGGAATAGAGAAAGATAAAAGGGTTGAGTTAAGGCTGATAAATTCATCAGCTCAGAAGGAAACAGATTAAAAGAGGTAAGGTATTAATAATTTTAAGTAACTCATTTTATTCATCTTGTGTCCACTTTTGCTGTTCAATTCCTCTCAATTAGTAAAATGAGAACTAAACAATTTGCATTGCTTCGAAAGCTAGTAAAATAAACACATTTTTCATTATGCAAAACAATCCTTGAATATCGCCATGCAGACCAAATGGTGACCTGTTACATGCTAAGTCAGCTGGTGAAGATAATCATTTTACTAGCTGAGGACAATTTATTATTATTGTTATTTTTTATTTTATTATTATTATTATTATTATTTAGCAAATTTCAAAATTTTTATGGATAAGGCACAAGAGGTACTGTAACGCATACTGTTTACAATGTCATTTCAAGCCCACAATCTCTTACTTAAATCATTTTTTTCATAACCAATAAATTATTCCTTGACACATAAAAATACAATAGAATAACAATATTTGACATGTGAAGCACGTGGGTAAAATAATGATAACTTGACAACTAAAAATATGTTGAAGGGGGAATTGCATAGTAGGGACACTTTCTTAGAAACTAAATTAAAAAGGACACAAGTTTCTAAAGCATCAAAAGAGAGGACAATTAAAGGTCAAATTCCGTTTAAATGAAGTGAGAGAACAGTATGACGGTAATTAGATATTTTTCTACAAAATAAAAAGATACTTTGAAAGTTTTAAGAGATCATTTTCTCATTTGATCACCACGTAGACTGGTATTTGAATAAAAGAACCGAAAACATGGCAAGGAAAAAACCCAAAGATTGAGTTGAGTGGTTATGACCTTTGGTTGGATCAAAGGTTCAAATGATCTTAAAACCATTTACAATTTTACTAAGACATTATATCCTATAAGTTTTCTTACTGTGAAGATAAATGTAGCAGTGGTTCCCATTTTTCAAATTCAATATACTTGTAATGAAAACTTTGTGGACAAAAGTAATACAATAAGAAAAGGAAAAAGGAAAACCAAACTGATTTCAGAACTGCATTCAGGACAAAGCAACATGTGCTTGATTTTAGGTCTCAAATACAAAGCAATGCCTAAAACAAGTTACTATTGTTTACCCATTAGTAGACCTGGCAAAACGGGTATGGACCCGCGGGTCGGTCCGTACCCGGGTAAAAAATATAGGGTATGGGTTCAATAAATTAAACCCGTTTTTGTTTGACCCGTACCCGTACCCGGTCCAATAAATTACGGGTCATGCGGGTGAACCCGTGGGCACCCGCGGGCACCCGTATAACCTTCTATCCTGTTTTGACTTTTGATTCTTTTGAACTAATGAGTCATTGAATCCCTAAAACTAAACTAAAAGTAAAAGTCACAGACGCGGCGACGCCTCCCTCTTAGCTCTCACGCCCGACGCCTCCCTCTCACGCCTCCCTCTCACGCCTGACGCCTCCCTCTCACGGAGTCACAGTCATCACGAATCCATCTCATCTCTGATCTCTCGACTCTCAGTCTCAGATCGCGGCCGCATCGTCACTTCGTCATCACTCATCAGTCTCTCATCAGTGACAGTCATCGCCTCATCAGTCTTCGATTAATATTCATCACTTCGTCACTTCGGTAACGAAATAGAGGCTCAGTCGCTCAGAGAGAGATCAGAAGCGAAGTTCGGCAAAAACAGGTTTCTTCAAAAACAAATCATTTTTGATTATTTTTATTTTATTTTATTTTTTTGGGAACCGAATGAATTTTTATTCGAATGAAGAGTTTTTAGGAAGAATTGTTTGAGTTTCTTTCATAGTTGCTTATGTTTGGTTTGGTACAGTTTGATGGACCCTTATGGTTTGGTATAGTTTTATGTTTCAGTTTGTGCTTGGTTTTAAATTTTGTTGTTTGGTTACTTAGAAAGTGGAGGAAAGTTATGGAAATGAATTGGAAAGAGTAGAATAGCAATGGATCTTGTTTATGTGTTCTCTTTATGGGTTTGTGATGATTGAAATGAACAGAAAAAAAAAAATGACACTAATCGAAAGTGAGCGAAATTCTTGAGCAGATGAACTTAATTGTAGTGCTCTGCTCATTTCTCTGCTCATTTCACTCTTGCTCTGCTCATTTCACAGAAGGGTGTTTGTTAGGCTTAGTTTAGTTAGTGCTTGTTTAGTTATCTTTAGTTTCATAATGGTGAAAAATCTGGGATTTCAAGTTTCATGTATCACTCAAACATAGTCTGAATAAAACTGAACAAATTGACAATGTCTGGGAATTCCCTTCGAAATTAATTGTCTCTTTCTTGCATAAAATTTGACACCTTAAAGCTTAAGCTACAAGTTACAATTGATACAGTTTCTAGCTGACCTGATCTTGCTAAACAAGTGTTTGACATTGTAGTGCAAGTAGATTTACTGAATAATTTCTGATTAACTTTAATATGAGCCAAAAATGGGGCTGACTTTGTTCAACCGATATGTCAAGAAGGAAAAGTTGCAGAAGAAATTTATAATAAAATTGAAGTAGTTTCCATGAAAATGGTTCACTATATGCCAAGTGAGTGCATCAGATGGAAACAATGAAAACTAAATACAATACATTGTTCAGTCGTTGAGCTGATCTTTAATTATATAATACTAGTTATGTACCCATGTTTTCTTCATATAATTTAATTTAATCAATTCAAATATTTTATTGACGTCCTCTTAATTTTAAATCTGTTTGATAAACATGCTATATGAAATTATTCATTTTTGTCCTGGATCTATTTAATAAGTTAAAATATCTTGTTGGATACCCGTTAAACTTCGTTTTTTTTTTTTTTTTTTTAATTCTATATGCCTTAAAATCCTTTGAATATGAACACAATTTGTTATAGGTTCAATTAACTTTATAATTATTCATCAAGTACAAATCATTATCAAAACACATTCTATAATAATTAGATAAAGTAAAATAGAATCAATTCCCATAAAAAATGAGAAAAATAAGAAGATATATATATATTAAGTTGAAGCAAGATTATATATGGAAAATTGGAAAAAAGGAAAAGGCTAACATACATATAATCCACCTTTTGATTCCTTGAAAGGGGTTTCATTTCCAAGGGGTTGCTGTTGTGGCCACTGGACCTACACAAATTACCCAATACATAAAAGAATCAACATTAAATTAGATAATTCAGCTGTCTTTCTATAGCCGAGAAAAGTTTATAAATATCATAAAAACATAAATTTCAAGTTTCTTACATTCCATTTTCTTCTAAATTTCAATGAAATAGTTAGCTCCCATTAATCAAATCTTATTACACTCCTAAATAATTAAAGCAACGTTCAAGCAATTTTACCAATCGTTTATTCAATTCATTAGTAAGTAATACAATAAAGACAGAAAAATCAGCTAAAAATCAGAAAAATGAAAAGCACCCCAACTTATTAAACTTGTCTCTAATAACGATTCACATACATAATTGCAACATTACGTAGGTTACTACAACTTATATAACCCTCTCTGGTACAAATGGTGGCAAATGGCAATTCCACTCGGTGGCAACTTTCAACTACCATTCCCTCTCCTGCAAAATTCGGAAATCAAGCCTAATTAAACAAAATGAAAAGATAAATTGTTTTATAGTACAGTGATAAATGAATATGATATCAGCACTAAATTCTTGATGTTTGTTTCTTATTTTATTGTATTATCCTTTGTTATTTTATTGTATTATCCTTTGAGTGTGTGTGAGAGACCTAATATATATATATATATAATTATATTTTTTTTTTTTTTTTTTTTTAGTCTCAAGCATTGACATGGCGGATTCAGAAACTATAGATACAGATATGGTTAACGTGAGAGCAGTGACGATGCTTCAGGTAATGCCACCTCCTTCTAGTTCTAGTATTCCTACAACTAGTTCTAGAAATAAACGTAAACATCAAAGTTTGGAATTATTTGAGATATATGTTGAAATACACTGAAAGGACTGGTGTAAGGCATCAGTAAATCTTATCATTGGTAGTGCCACACATGGGACTAAAAATATGAAGCGCATATACAAATTGTCCAAAACGTGCCAACCATGATGTAGGCAATTATTGATTGATCATAATCATAGATTGCAAAGTAGAAAGATTAGTCAAGAGACTTTTCGTGAATATATGCCTTATCAATTATTCAACAACTATCCATATTCATATGGGAGAATCAAGGAACTAGGAGAGTCTTTTCATATGTGTGTATGAGCTTGTGCATTATTCTAGGAACACCGCTAGGCGGATTGCTTAAAATATTTGAAAGGATGAAGAAAAAAACAACTTGAATTAGGAGCTGACAAGTAGAATATGCTTAACTTCTGATGTTTGGACTTCTGGTACAACTGAGGGATATATTTCTTTGACAGCTCATTATTAGATGAGGATTGGGAGTTACAGAATAAAATATTGAACTTTGTCATATTCCTCCTCCACACTCAGGGGTTGTTTTGGCAGAAAATATCATGAATTTCTTGCAAGAGTGGGTATTGAAAAGAAAATTTCAATTACTTTGGATAATGCAATAGTAATGATAGGATGAGGATATCTTGAGGAACCAGCTTTGTGTGCAGAATGCTTTGTTATTTAAAGTGAATTTTTCCATGTCGATGTTCTGCACATATCTTGAATCTTATGTTCAAGAAGGGTTAAGAGTTGCTAGTGTTGCTTTGAATAAGATCGATAGTGTGAATATATTAAAGCAACTGAGGCTAGGAGAATCAAGTTTGGAGAACTTGCTGTACAAATGGGTGAAAAGCTCATGGGTGTTGAGATTGGATGTTTCCACTAGATGGAATTCGACATTTTTAGGCTTGATACAGCGTTAATATTTCGTCCCGTGTTTGTGGCTTTGTCAACAATAGATCCTAATTATAAATTTTGTCCATCAAAGAAGATGGGATAGGGGGAGAGGATATGCAAGTTCTTGGAACCATTTAGATATTACGACTTTATTCTCAGGTTCAAATATCCTACAGCAAACTTGTACTTGAAATGTGTGTGGAAATTCATTGCGTTTAATTGAAGAGAGTACAGTGAGGATAAGTTGTTAAGAACATGGCAAAACAAATGATCCCAAAATTTACAAAATATTGGGATTCTTATAGTTTTTTGTTGACGATTGCAACTATTCTACCCACGTCTCAAGTTTCAGTTTGTGGAGTACGCTTTCAACAAGTTTTTGATTCAAATACTGCCGTACTGAAGTTGGAGACTGTTAAGAATAACTTGCAAAAGCTTTTTCAAGCTTACAGGCTAGATGTTGTAAAGAAGTTCCTGCCTCCACCTTCAGTTGTTTCTCCGGCGAGTAGTTCTACTTCTAGTAGGCGTGTAGATCATTCTTCTGTAAGTCCTATACTTTTTAGTTTTTATATTCTTATGTAAATAAGTTTTGTTTATTGTTAATTTTAACTTTTGACAGTTAACTGTTTAAATGATGTAGGATTTTGACAGCTATGAGAGTGTTTTCATTTCCACTAAGAAATCCGAGTTAGATCTTTATTTGGAAGAGATGAGGTTTGATCGCGTCAAATATCAGAATTTGGATATCCTCGATCATTGGAAGATAATCGTGATCGTTATCCGTACTTACCATGATGGCTCGTGATATCTGGCAATACCAATAACATCCTTGCCTCAAGTCCGCTTTTAGTAGTGTATAAAGTGCCAACAAATATCGAAGCTCACTTCGACCAAAATGCAGAATCTTTGATATGCCCTCGAACTTGGCTATATGGATATGAGTTTGAAGTAACATGTTAACATAATATTTCGTATATTTTATTATTTATTTATTAATATTTGTAGTTGATCATTGTTTTGTAGATATGAGTGAAAATGATTCGATGATGATCTTGATGTGCCATTGTGATCTCGAGACCGTGGAATCAAGAGACTCTATCACGCCCACTGGGGAATAACATTTGCTGTCTTAAGAATTTTTTTTGTGATATTGATTATGTATTTGTTTATTTTAATTGGTATTTATAGTTTATTGACTTATTTGGTTTGTTTATATGTAATGTGTATTATGGATTTTGTATTTGTTTGTTTTGGTTGGTATTTGTAGTTTTGTTTAATGTTTGTTTGTTTATGTGTTATTTGTTTTTTTTGGTTCTATTTGTTTATATTCTTAATTGAATTGAATTTAGAGTAGTTGATTTAGGGGGTGTAATGTAAAAAATTAAAACTGCAGGAATTTTGGGGTGTAATTGTCATAATTGAAAACTGTTGGGGTGAAACTGTCAAAACCGAAAGCTGGAGAGAGAAAAAAAACGGTCCACCCGCGGTCCACCCTACCCGTATAGGGTAGGGCAGGTCCAAAATATTGGCCCCGTATAATCTACCCGTTTTGGACCCGTACCCGTTTTACCCGTACCCTTTTACCCGGCCCGTACCCGGCTCACCCACCCGTTTTGCCAGGTCTACCCTTAGTACTACAATTCCTCAGCTTATGGCATAATAATAGCAATACATAGCCCTACATGAAAATATGATTGTTTCTCACAACAAATCAACCCACCATGTTCATTGATATAAACCAAAATCATAACACAGGTTCAATTAGTTATATAAAACTAAAGTGCACACAATAGCAATTCCTTAAAAATCAAATAAAATTTATGCTATATCAGAAAAAAAAGTGAAAGGCCCCTCCTGCAAAACCACCTTCAGTTTCTTCAGATTGAGGAGTTTGCTAGTCCTTGTGTTCAAAGGAGGAAGAAGAAGATTTGAACAGGGCAACAGAAGTGAAATGATGCAAGGCCAGGTAACTAATGAGTTCATACATTTTGTGTTAATAATTTTTTTTTTTTTTTTGGTTACCTCTCTGTGTACAAATAGAGTTTCCGACTATGTTACCTGTACATCATAACTAATTCATACATTTTGCATGATTGACTCACATTCACTAAATTTAAATATAAGTGTGTATAAGTGTCCTCTTCTGCATGTTATATTGTATCCTTTCTAATTCTTTTTTTTTAATTAAAAAAAAAAATTCTCTATTTTGCAATCACCCCCATTATTATTATTTCTAATTGAATGAAATGTATCTCTTCATGTAAGATCTGTTTCAACCAAAACGACTATAATTTGCATGATTAGATTCGACCAAATGAGCACACTCCTTCCAAACTCTTTTCCCTAATCTTTAACAAGTGAAACATAGAGATTTTAAAACTATAAAGTAATTCTGTTTATCCTAGACCTCCTAATTTACAGCAACACCACACAATCTTTCATGTAGCGCTCATTTTAACACAAGTCTTATGAATAAGAGAAATTCATCCAGAGTTACCTTCTTACAGATGGTGGGTGAGAACCTAATACTCCTGATCTTTACTTTCAGATCACCAAAAAGTTCAGTAAGGTGCATAGCCGATGAGTTGACTCCAAGTGAAGACAATGCACTTCTCCCCTTCTAAACTTTGCAAAAGACCAACCAAATACAAGGGCTTCAGCTTTGACTCGCAAATCTACAAAAAAAAAAATCTAGACACATGAACACAGAGGTGAAGACCAAAACAAAACAGGAGAATATATTATCCTATTCATTAGATTGAATTGTTCTGACAACATTTCAGAAGCTTGAAATGCTTGTCCTTTGTTATATAGTCACAAACTTCATGCAACATCTATTCTGGATAAGAAAATACTAATTACTATGGCCATTATCAATCAACATAAAGCTAAACATTTCAAGACCTAGGACATATTTTTAATCAGGTATTTGTTTTGAAAACTCAACTCCTAGTTGAACTCAAAAAATATGAACTTCAGATCTTCCAGTTTTTAACAAATTTGAAGGTGAAGGGCACAAAGATCATTTAAGAGATTAACAGGCTAGCATATAACTTTAAATAGAGACAGCATCCAAATTTTTCAAATTTATTTAGACTATGAACCCTGCCATGAGCTTTCAAGTTTGTCACACTTCAGAGGAATATACATTTTCTAAGCTTCATTAGTGATATGGTATAAACTGCTAAAATAAGAAATTATAAAATTGTTAAACCAACAAGTTAATGGAATATGTCATATTTCATATTCAATTAATCATAGTTTTTGGACATGATCAAGCCCTGACTTCCTATACAAAACAGAATCCAAAACTCAGATATTAGAAACAAATATTATTTATTTATTTATTTTTTATTTTTGGTAAACACGGTATTGCCTCTCCGCGACTCGAACACAAGACTCTTGGGTATAGCTAACCCGTGCTAAAGGGCTTGCCATCCAGCCACGAGGGAGAGGTAATTAAAACAATTTTCCTCATGACAGCCCATAATTTCAGCAGTAAAGTTATGATTTTTCATACCAGTTTGTACAACTCTAATTTATCTGGCAGCTTATAACGACTTTGCCCAGTTGTCAAAAATAAAGGGTGATGCAGATCAAGCTGAGCAACTTGCTTGGATCTTGCGTTAATGTAGCTAAAACCCATCTCCACAAGCCTGGGGTAGGCTTTTCCTAATCCCCTCTCAACACCACTGCAGTAAATGTGGAACAATTTGGCAGTGTGAGATACAAGCACTGTAATTTAAAAAATTCAACAAATAGAGATTATCTATAAAATAAATTCAGTTTGTTTAATCTTCAAGATAAACTAATGCTTCAACACTATAAAGGAGTACAACAACCATAGATCTTACCATCTTTTAATGGTTTTTTAAGGAACCAACGTAGAAATGATTAAAAGTATTTCCACAACGAAAGTGGCTTTCATAATTAGAGCGAGTCAATTGAAGTACAGTTGGTAGCCAGGCTTGATATGCCTCCCTAAGCATTCGATCTGTTTCATCAACCACCTAAATAGCATACATATTCAGCATAAGGAATAACTTAAAATGAAGTATACTATGATGGTTCACTACAACTAAGCACATGCACAAATAATAATTTGATTCTCAAGATGATAAATGTAATCCTAAAATAAATCATGATTCAGAAATGTAAATCATACTTTATGTTGCTATAGCCAATTAACAGATAAGAGCATTGTTCAGTAACTAGCAAAGACATAGATGGACCAGATTTACGATCACATGCATCATCAATCATAATCTCAGGTGAAAGTTAGTTAACAAGATTAATAAGAATTAATTATGTACTACATATCAAGGCTAGAATCAACCAAGAGTAATCAATCTCTCCAACAGACAAATCTTCATTAAGTTTCAATTAGATAAAAAAAATATAAATATAAAAGTCATTGATAGGAAAGATGAGCATCTTACAAGGTAACATAGATGCTCAAGTGTAAATCCTTTAGTTGTATTGATGTGGTCCATAAGTCTTCCCGGGGTGGCCACCAATATATGTACAGCACTTTTTAAATCCTGGAAATGATCTTCTGGGTCATAACAGATTCCTGCCTCAAGCTTAGGTCTCTTAACAAGATCTGAAATTTCATCAGCAATTGAAGATTGACCCACAGCCAAACCAACAGATAAACCAACTGCAGGTGCAATTGCAGAAAAAACTTCTTTGACCTGAATTAGAAATAGAAAAGTAATCACATACTCCACAAGAAACCCAAATGTAGTTTCAAAATAGGGATATGGCTACAATGTCAGGTATGCATCAATACCAAATGTTAAATTTGTACAATGTCACAAGACAAATATACAAGTAAATCATAAAACAGGACAAAGTCCTCGTAACAATATGAGTACAACTGTACTTCCCAAGTGAAGAGTCTATAATACCATGGAGATATTACATTCAGCTAAATAATTACCAATCACATTAATTGTGAAGATAGATGACTGAAAAAAAAAAAATTCATAGATGGCATAAATGTATTACATTATTATGGTATCCTAGATTTTTTTTCTAATTGACAAGAACAACTAAAATAAAACATTATCCATCCTCATTAAATGACTAAACTTCTTTTACCTATGCTCTCCCATTCATTTAGTACATCGATAGAGTTTGAAATAGTATTTATTCTATAAACTTAGGTATTATAACAATACAGATACAGCAATACAGTCATGAGAAAAATTACCTGCAAGGCTAAATCACGAGTAGGCAAAACCACTAAAGCTCGCAGACATTTAACAGCACGATTCGACAACATCTGCACTATCGGCAAAGCATAAGCTAAAGTTTTACCGCTTCCTGTTGGTGAATTGATGCAGAGATCTCGTTCAAAACAACCAGGCCCTATGGTCTCTTGCCAAACTGCAAGTTGCACTGGGAAGAGTGACGAGATACTCATCTTCTGCAAAGCCACCTTCAACCTAATTTAATACAAATCATCAATGCATACTCTAAAACACTACAAAATTATAAAATTAACCAACAAAAATATTTGTGGCTACCTTGGGTCCAGACAGGGGACGGCTTCAAGAGTTCGTTCTTCAAAGTTAGTGACGTCAACTGGCCTTCGCATCCATGGCAAAACTGGCTCGCTTTTCATCTTCACTACCTCCATTTTTTATTTTTTATTTTTTATTTTTTGGTTTTCAAAAAAAAAAAAAAAACAGTTTAAACCCTGGAATGAAGTGGAAACACGAGAGGCTTTTAGAAATTAGAACCAACAGATATGGCATCTGCCATGTCATCTGCCAGCTAAGTGAGTAAGAGAATGTGAGTAAAGGAGGTGAGTAAAGGTAGCTTTACTAAAGAAAAGAAAATACCTTTGGAGTTCCAGCGATGTAAAACTCTCGGGCCGGGTTTATCCGGGTCTGAAACGGACCTAATTCAACCCGGACCCCGATGTATAAAAATTTGAAACAAAAAATAAAAATAAATTACATTTCTAATGAGAATATAAAACAAAAAATATAAAAAAAAAAATTATAGTTTTAATGATATGTTGCCTGCTGCAGCGGTTCCGGCTTCGGGCAACTTCAGGTAGACTTAGGGGGCTGCTACGTGGCGTCCAAGAGATTGTAGAGAAACAACGTTTCAGAGTGGCCGCTCGTGTCTCTGCGTTTCTGGTGGGGGGTCGCAGTGAGGTGCTAGCGTCCTTCAACGGCTGTAAACGCTGTATTTCAGGTAGTGCTTTGTTCTGTTGTTGGGTGTCCGCTGAACAAAACGGCTGCGCTTTAGAAAGAATACCTTTTAGCAGCGATGTTCAAAACCGGGTATTCGAACCGGTTGTAGACTTGGCCGAACCGAAGCGGAAATTCGGGGTTTTGAATCGAACCGGGTTTCCGATACGGTTACCGGGTACTCGGTTTTTAACCGGGTTTTTCTGTTCTACAAAGATATGAACAACTACGAACACAAAAACAACCCACACCCAAATTAAAAATCCACAAACCTAGCCAGAAAAGCTTACTTCACAATCTGTAGTCTACAAATACAAACTCATAACTCGCGCCCAAATTAAAAATCCACAAACCTATGTAAAATCTGTAACATTGATTTGATATAAAACCCAAAAATTCCACAAACCCAGTCGAAATCTACAACCTTGCGGCTTATCTATGGCACTGGTTCGTGTGGCAAGACTCACATGTGTCGTGGCAGGATGTGCGTCGTGGTGAAGAAAAGGTAAGGAAAAAATAGAAGAAAAGGAAATAAAGGAAAAAAAAAAAGATAAAGGAAAGGAGTAATGGAGTGAAGAAGAATAACAGGAGGAGAGGAAATAAAAGGAAACGGGAAGGAGAAAGAATAAGGAAATGGACGATGGAGTGAAGAAGAAGAAGAAGAAGAGGAGAGATAAAAAAAAAAAAGACACGGGAAGGAAATAAGAAGAAATATTAAGAAAAGGGAATGAAAAAAGAAAAAACGAAATTAAGGAAAAAAAATTCATTACCGATTTACTCAATTGTCCTTAATGAAAAAAAATAATAAACTAAAATCCAAAACAGCAGCAAAGGCTAGAGGCAAAAGGCAAAACGATGATGGTGAGAGTGGTCTGGGCAATTTATCAAGCAGGTGGTGGGCAAGGTGAAATGGCGAATTCCACAACAAACAAATTCAATCACGAAATCCATTCAACACTTCCACATCAAAACTCCTAAACAAACAATTTCTCCAATCAAATTTCACACCAGATGGGCAGCAATCTCCCAACCAACACAACAAACAATAATCCACAAGAGATTTATCCAGCAAAAACACACATGTTGCAGATAGTGGAAGCTGCCAGAGGAGTCGCGCGGTAGTTGTACGCTGGGCGTCGCCCGCTGGGTGTCATGCGTTGGTGTACGGAGTGAGAGATAAGAGAGCAGCGGCGGCCGGTATGTGATGGGTATGGGATGTGAGAAAGTGAGAATGAGGAGGTAATAGTGTTTGATAGTGAGATGGGTATGGGTGGTTTCGGCGGGTCACGGCAGCAAAATCCTATTGTGATAGTGTTTGAGAATGAGGAGAAGAGTAAGTGATAGCTTTTGGTCTTTGCACTTTGACTTTGACATTCAGTATTGTTTTGTTTGTGATGGTGTTTGAAAGAAAACCTTAGAGGCGAAGTTTCAGAATCGCAAAATTGGATGGTGGGGTCGGTCCCTGTGCCTACGTGGAGAGATCTTAACGGAGGGTTCACAACATAAACTTTTTCTGCTTCTTTTAAGATCTTCTTTATATTTGTTATTATCATTCATTTTAATTGATTAATTAATATATTAAAAATAAATTCGACATACCCACAACTTCAAATCTTTTGTTTCAGACTGATGATGTTAGATTTGGGTACCTTATATCTAAAAATACTATATAAATTCATGATGTTTCCTTCTAATACAAAATTAGAATTTTAGATCAATAAAAAATAATATAAATAAAATAAATGATAATTTTTCATTTACGATTCTATGTCATATTAACTTAAATATATAATTAAAGATTTATAATTTTAATATTAAAACTAAAAGGTTTACTTCTTAAAACAAACACTTATATAGAAATGAAAATATCTGACATAATATTTTAACCAGATAATTCATAAAAGTGTTAAAACTAAGATTGATATTATTGTATTTTTTAAAACGTATTATTGACAATATACCGTATTAAACCTATATATATCCGTATCATATTTTTTTTGTATCTGAATTTTATAACCGAATTTCTATAAACGTATTTTTCACCGTTTACTGTATTATATCTATAAAATTTCTGTATCATTTATTTGTTGTATCCGTATTTACTAACTAGGGTTGCTCTCATCTAAAAAAGTTGACGTCTTAAATCTAAACCCCCTCTGATATTGTCTATTACTGTTGACCCTTAAAATTTTACCGTTAGCTATTAAAGAGTAGGGTTAAAAGAGTAAATGACGATTAATTAAAAATAAGTAATAAAATAAACCCTAAAATAAAAAAATAAAAAATCCCACTTAACTCCTCCATCTGTCCAACCCGCCACCGTTGCCTCCACCTCCACCTGCACAGTGCGTGCCCAAATTGCATCGTATCCCCGTACGTCGACCCAGCCATCGAGTTGAAACCTCCTACACCTTCATACCAAACACCGCAACAATCACCTCGCTGATGTGTTTGGGTAGCCTATTCTCAGCTTTGTTTCCTGAATATTATTTATTTTGTTTTTGCTTTTGCTCTTGTCCATGGTAATGGTGAATTCTTAATTTCTTTTATGGATGAACCAGAAGATTTTGTTGTTGAAATGATGTGGAATTTTGATGTGATATGGTATTTAGATCTCTTGGGTTTGTCGAAAATGAGAACAGGGCTACTGGGTTGCTGGTTGTCGAGGTTAGGGAGGAGGCAGGCTGAGATTTCGGAGTATAAGAGTGGTGGTGCAAAAGCCGTGCGGATGGAGGCTATTGGGCGCATGGAAAATGGCGAGTTGAAGGCTGTGGTCTCATGGTTTTTTAAATTTGGATTTAATTTTTTTATGTTGCCGGATTTTTCGTATCAAGAGGAGACTGCCGGGTTTTTTTTTTTGGCTAATAATTAAGGGATTTTCAGTGGATGGGCTAGGTGGTGGAAGAAGGAGATTGCAGGATTTTTTTTTTTTTTTTTTAAATCTTCTTTTGCCAACAATGAGCGTGGGAAAGAGATGGAAAGGATCGAAGGAGTGTTAAAGTTTGTTTTTAATAAATAGCTGATGTCATATTACACGAGAGGTAGTTTAGTTGATTACCTATTCTTTAGGAGAATTTCAGCCGTAGAAGCGTTTGTTATTCATGGATTTAGTGGTCTTATTTTTCTAATATGCACGTTGTTTACAATTCCCATTTAAGACTATATTCAACTAATGAATAAAAGTGGCTATTTTCACCTCCCTAAGTCTTCAATATTTTCCTCTGTTTTTCTTTCACAATTGGTATCAGAGCCATTTGAGTGAAACACGTGAGGTGTGAAAGACAGCAGTCAGAGAGCCGAAACTCTTCTTTCCTCATAATTGTAGCAACGATCACGTATGGCATATGAAAGTTTCGTGCAACCCGCAATACCTCGTTTTGATGGTCATTGTGACCATTGGAGCATGTTGATGGAAAACTTTTTAAGATCCAAAGAATACTAGAATCTTATAGAAGATGGTATTACTGAACCTGAAACAAGAGAAGCATCGACAGAGGCACAAAGAAAGGCATTTGAAGACCAAAAGTTGAAGGATCTTAAAGCAAAGAACTACCTATTTTCAGCAATTGATCGCTCAATTTTGGAGACTATTCTTCAAAAAGATACATCCAAACAAATTTGGGATTCCATGAAGAAAAAGTATCAAGGCACAACAAAGGTGAAACGACAACATCTTCAAGGACTTCGTAGAGATTTTGAGACTCTTCAAAAGAAGCCAAGAGAATCTGTAGATGACTATTTCTCTAGGACAATGGCGATAGCTGGTAAAATGAGGTTGCATGGTGAAAAGATAGAAAATGTTACACTGGTAGAAAAAATTATTTGATCAATGACGGTGAAGTTCAATTACATCATTTGTTCAATTGAGAAGTCCAAAGATATTGATGAGCTTTCAATTGATGAATTGCATAGCTCCCTGCTGATTCATGAGCAGAAAATCAAGAATCAAGATACCGCATCTGAAGAGCAAGCTTTACAATCTACCACCCCTCAAGGTCGAGGACAGGGCAAAGGCCAAGGACGAGGACGAGGTAGAGGATATAATCATTTTGACTTTTAGGGCAGAGGTCGAGGTTCCTTTAATCAGGTGCCAAAGTTTGATAAGTCAAAAATTAAATGCTTTCATTGTGATAAGTATGGGCATTATCACTCTGAATGTTACACTAACATGTCAAAAGCAAAGACAGAAAAGGCAAATTTTGTAGAGAAAAAGGAGGAAGATGAGGAAGAAGTCACTCTTTTAATGGTGTGTCAAAACATGGAGGAGCCAAATCATAATTTGTGGTACTTGGACACTGGCTGCAGCAATCACATATGTGGAGACAAGACAATGTTCTCCAATTTAGATGAATCATACCGAACTATTGTGAGGTTTGGAGATGACTCCAAAGTTTATGTTATGGGAAAAGGGAACATCAAAATAACACCCTACATACCATCTCGGGTGTTTTCTATGTTCCAAAATTGAAAAGCAATCTTCTTAGTCTGGGCCAGCTTCATGAGAAAGGTTATTCCATCATTATTAAAGAAGGAGCTTGACAAATTTAAGATCAACAAAAAGGTCCAATTGCAAAGGCCTTCATGACAACAAACAGGATGTTTCCTTTACACACCCATAGTGACATTCAAACTTTTTTCTCTGCAAGGGAGAATGATTCAGCATGGCAATGGCATGCTCGCTATGGTCATCTGAATTTCAGAGATTTAAAGACACTTCATGATAAAAAGATGGTTGTTGGACTTCCTCAAATCAATTGCCCTGAAAAATTTGCGAAGAATGTGTTGTTGGCAAGCAACACTGAGAGTCTTTCCCAAAAGGAAAGGCATGGAGAGCTGGTAAACCACTGGAGCTAATTCGTTCTGATATTTGCGGACCGATCAATCCGGTATCTAATGGAAAAAAGAGATATTTTATTTCTTTTATTGATGACTTTTGCAGACAAACGTGGGTATATTTTTTATAGGAAAAGTCAGAAGCTCTAGTAGCATTTAAAATATTTAAAGTCCTTGTTGAGAATGAAACAGGGTCAACAATTAAGATTCTTCGAAATGATCGGGGTGGTGAATACAATTCAGAAGAATTTGTTAACTTCTGTGCCTTGCATGGTATACGGAAGCAGCTTACAACATCCTATACACTGCAACAGAATGGTATGTCCGAAAGGAGGAATCGTACCATTTTAAATATGGTTCAAAGCATGCTAGCCAATGACAGAATTCCAAAGACTTTTTGGCTTGAAGTAGTTAATTAGAGTATTCATATTTTGAACAAAAGTCCTACATTTGCTGTCCAAAATATGACACTTGCTGAAGCTTGGAGTGGTCACAAACCTGATGTTGATCATTTTAGAATTTTTGGGTGTCTCCCCGTATGCACATATTCCAAATCAAAAAAGAAAGAAGCTTGATGACAAGGGTGAAAGGTGTGTCTTTCTTGGTGTAAGTGAATCTTCCAAAGCGTACAAGTTATTTAATCCCATTACTAAGAAAATTGTTATTAGTCATGATGTTATTTTTTATGAAAAAAAGCTGTGGAATTGGACTAATAACAATTTGGAGCAGCAACCCAATCATATTTCTGTAAGTTTTGATGAAGAAGAATAAGAATGCTTAGAATTTGGACATCTACAACAATCAACAGTTCCTTTTGAAGTTACATCTGAAATTTTAGCAGCTCCTCCTGAAATTACATCTAAAATCTCATCATGGGAAGTCCAGCCATCAAGTTTGTCAAGTCCAAGAGAGTCACATCCAAGGAGGAGACCAACTTGGATGATGGACTATGTAAGTGGAGATGAATTATTTGATGAAGATACAATTGCTTATTTTGCTCTATTTGCAGAGAGTGATCCTATAGCATTTCACGATGTTATCAAAGAAGTAAAGTGGCAAAAGGCGATAGAGGAAGAGATTAATGCAATTGAAAGAAATCAGACTTGGGAGTTAACGAATCTTCCAAAGGGGCAAAAAGTGATATGTGTCAAATGGGTCTACAAGACCAAATTAAATGAGAAGGGTGCAGTGGAGAAACATAAAGCACGTCTAGTGCAAAAGGCTATAAGCAAGAATTCGGAGTTGATTACAAAGAAGTGTTTGCTCCAGTTGTAAGGCATGACACCATTCGGTTGGTTCTTTTTGTTGCAACATGAAACTCAGGGCCTATTTTTCGACTAGACGTGAAGTCAGCTTTTCTACATGGTGACTTACATGAGCATGTGTATG